ACACACAAACCCACACAAACACACGTACACACATGAACACACATGCACACACACACGTGCACACACACACGTACACACACGTGCACACACACACACGTACACACACATGTACACACGTACACACACGTACACACGTGCACACACACACACGCACACACGTACACACACACACGTGCACACACACACGTACACACACACGTGCACACACGTGCACACACACACACGTGCACACACACGTGCACACACGTACACACACATACACACACACACGTACACGCGTGTGCAGGGCTGCGCGTGCGAGCCGCGGTGGTGTCGGCGCACACCCGAGCGGGCCGGGGCACTCTGAGGTGTGTGTGTGGGGGTGGTGGTGGTGTTGGTGTTGGTGGTGTCCGGGTGCCGGTGCCGCGGGCCCCGCGTGCCGGTGCCGCTCTCACCTGGGCTCGGGCAGCAGGATCCTCTTGCTGGCGCGGGCGGCGGGCGCGGCGCGGCTCTTCTCCATGGCCATCAGGTAGCTCACGTCCGCCAGCACCGCCTCCAGGTCCGCCATCTTGCGCCGCGCCGCCGGACCCGCCGCCCACCACCGCCGCCACCGGACCGGACCCGCAGCCGGACCCCGACCCGCACGGACCCGGAACCGGAACCGAGCCCCGGAACCGGAACCGGGACACGCGCGGTCCTTGTCTTCCTCTGCCCCCCCCCACCCCCCCACCCCCCCGGTGCGGGCGGCAGCGGCAGCGCCGGGGCTCAGCGCTGGGGCGGGGGGGCCATGGCGGGAGCGGCGCCTCAGGGAGCGCGCGCGGCCCGCCCGCCGCGAGACCGCCCCGGGGCACGGAGGGGCGGGGCCACGGAGGGGCAGCCCCGCCCATCGCCCCGCCCGCAGCGCCTTGCGTGGCCGACGCGCCCGCGGGCGGGTGTGAACGGCGTCGTGTGACGTGTGTGTGACGTCATGTGTGTGTGTGACATCATCAGTGTGACATCATGTGTGTGTGTGTGACATCGTGTGTGTGTGACATCATGTGTGTGTGTGACATCGTGTGTGTGTGTGACATCGTGTGTGTGTGACATCATGTGTGTGTGTGACATCATGTGTGTGACATCGTATGTGTGTGTGACATCATGTGTGTGTGACATCGTGTGTGTGTGTGACGTCATGTGTGTGTGACATCGTGTGTGTGTGTGACATCGTGTGTGTGTGACATCGTGTGTGTGTGACATCATGTGTGTGTGTGACATCGTGTGTGTGTGTGTGACATCGTGTGTGTGTGTGTGTGTGTGACATCATGTGTGTGACATCATGTGTGTGTGTGACATTGTGTGTGTGTGACATCATGTGTGTGACATCATCTGTGTGTGTGTGACATCATGTGTGTGACATCATGTGTGTGTGTGACATCATGTGTGTGACATCGTGTGTGTGTGACATCATGTGTGTGTGTGTGACATCGTGTGTGTGACATCGTGTGTGTGTGACGTGTGTGACATCATCTGTGTGTGTGTGACATCATGTGTGTGACATCATCTCTGTGTGTGACATCGTGTGTGTGACATCATGTGTGTGTGTGACATCGTGTGTGTGTGACATCGTGTGTGTGTGACATCGTGTGTGACATCGTGTGTGTGACACTGTGTGACGTGTGTGTGAAATCGTGTGTGACATTGTGTGACGTGTGCGTGACATCGTGTGACGTGTGACATCGTGTGACGTTTGTGTGACATCGTGTGTGTGACGTTATGTGTGTGATGTGTGACACTGTGACATCATGTGTGACATGTAATATGTGACTGACATGTGGCACTGTGACGTGTACGACATTGTGTGTGACATCATGCATATGTGACATCATGTGTATGACATCGTGAGGCCTCATGAGTGTGACGTGTATGTGACACTGTGACATCACATGTGACACTGGCTCTGTGTCACACCGTGAGTGAACACCGTGTGTGTGACACCGTGTGTGTGCCATGCTGAGTGCGACGCTGTGCACGTGTGACACCGCAGGTGTGCGTGACCCCCCCGTGTGTCCCTCCGCCTGTCACACCGCGTGCGTGCATGACCACACACGTGGCACCACGCAGCAGGCAGTGCAACCACGTGTGAGGGCCCCAGCGTCCCCGTGCACGATGCTCACCAATGTGGTACTGCTCCGGCCCCGCTCCTGGCATCTAAACCAGGGAGGAGAGGAACAAATCCCCATGGAATGCTGCCGGCACATCCCTGTGGGCCTGATCCCAGCCGGGGAATCCCTTTGGTTTGGCCAACACGGGGAGATGGAGCCAGAGCCAGCCCCTGAGCTGCCTGTGCTCCCTGCCCACATTCCCTGCCCGCATTCCCTGCCCGCTCTTTGCCAGGCAGAGGTTGGAATCTGCTCCAACACGGGTGCTATAGAGAGAGCTCCGGTTGTGAGGTGAGCAGGGGGGCAGCCCTGGAGTCCACTGGGAGCAAGGGGTATTCCCAAGGGATGGGCAACAGCCTCTTGCGCCCAGGCTCATGGGTGGGGAAGGAGGTGATGGGGACACTGGGATGGCTGCCACCACCACTCCCTGAGGATGGAGACATGGGGACAACTGCCACCACCATTCCACAGATGACAGGGACACTGTGATGGCTGCCACCTCCATTCCCTAAGGGATGATGGAGACATGGGGACAACTGCCACCACCATTCCACAGATGACAGGGACACTGTGATGGCTGCCACCACCATTCCCTAAGGGATGATGGAGACATGGGGACAACTGCCACCACCATTCCACAGATGACAGGGACACTGTGATGGCTGCCAGCTCCATTCCCTAGAAGATGATGGGGACACAGGGATCACTGCCACCACCATTCCCCAAGAGATAATGGAGACACAGAGATGGCTGCCACCACCATTCCCCAAGACATAATGGAGACACAGAGATGGCTGCTACCACCATTCCCTAAGGGATGATGGGGACACAGGGACAGATGCCACCTCCATTCCCCAAGAGATAATGGGGACACAGAGATGGCTGCCACCACCATTCCCTAAGGGATGATGGGGACACAGGGACAGATGCCACCTCCATTCCCCAAGAGATAATGGAGACACAGAGATGGCTGCCACCACCATTCCCTAAGGGATGATGGGGACACAGGGACAGATGCCACCTCCATTCCCCAAGAGATAATGGGGACACAGAGATGGCTGCCACCACCATTCCCTAAGGGATGATGGGGACACAGGGACAGATGCCACCTCCATTCCCCAAGAGATAATGGAGACACAGAGATGGCTGCCACCACCATTCCCTAAGGGATGATGGGGACACAGGGACAGATGCCACCTCCATTCCCCAAGAGATAATGGGGACACAGAGATGGCTGCCACCACCATTCCCTAAGGGATGATGGGGACACAGGGACAGATGCCACCTCCATTCCCCAAGAGATAATGGAGACAGAGATGGCTGCCACCACCATTCCCTAAGGGATGATGGGGACACAGGGACAGATGCCACCTCCATTCCCCAAGAGATAATGGGGACACAGGGACAAGCACCATCACCATACCCCAATAATGATGGGGACATGGGGATGGCTGCCACCAACCCAACAGGGATACATGGATGCTATGAACCATCAGAGAATGCTCCAGAAGTCCCTGCAAAGGGCCGGGATCTCCAATCTCATCCCCTCCACCTCCCTCATGGACAATGCGCAGAGCCAAAATGCAGGATTTGGATATTTCCTTACTTTTTTTTCTTTCCCCCCATTTTCTCTTAACTTATTCCAAAAAAAATCCATCCCAAGAAACAAAATCCCCCTTCAGTGACTGGGATTTTCCTTCCCCCATCCCCGCGCTCATGAAAGCGACGATCCTCTCCTAAACCCCACCACTGGAAGGGAAAACCCAATCAAAACCTCCCACTAAAACAGGATCGAAACCAATCCCTGGGCTCAGGGAATCAGAACCCCCCCAAGGGCGACTGAGAGAAGGGCCAGACGTGGTTTGCTTTTTACCCTTAATGCTTACATTTAATTTTAAAGCACAAACATCAGAGATGGACTCTAAATCGCCAACAAAAAAATAGATATTTACAATATTTCTCCAAGGGGGGGGGGGAGGGGGGGATGGAATGGGGGGGGAAAAATTGGGAAGGGGGAGGAAGAGGAGGGTGGGAATTGAAACGAAACCAAAACACAACCAAACCCTTTAAACAATGACTTCTTCTTGCAGGGGTTGTCTTGAGGGAGCAGTCTGGGTGCTTTTTAAATCACTACGTGATTGCTTTCTTCTTTTTATATATATAATTCTTTTTCTTTCTCTTCCTTATGGATTTTCCTCCCCCTTTTGCCCGAGGAGTGGAAGGGGGATGAGGGCCGCGCACCGGAGTCTCTGCAGCCATGCGGGAGGAGGATGATGAAGGGGATTACGGCCCCTCCATCCAACCCCAACCATGGCCATGGTGGAGGATGTCCCTGCGCCCACCCGGCTCCGGGCGAGCTCGATCCCAGCCTGGAATTCTTTCTTTCTCGTTGCAAAAGAACTCAAACCAAAAACCTCAATCCAAAAGGAAAAAGAAAAGCTCGGGAGACTCCATATGTCCTTCCCAAAGGAGGCTAAGGCAGGGCGGCCTCCGCTCTTCCTCACACCCGGAGCCGCGGTGGCTGCTCCGAGCCCTCCGGCTCCCCCCGCGGCACAACCCTCTCGTTGCTCCTTGCATCCATCCCCCTTATCCAGCAGCCGGGAAGCGGAGGACAGATGGAGGCGTCTCCTTCCTCCCTTATTGCTTCTGAAGCAGTGGGGATCCCCCCCCTTGGCTGTTGTCCTCTGCAGGGTTGAGAGGGGGTATCAGGGGGGAGGCTGGGTTGTGCTATGGGGCCAGACTTGGGGCCAGCAGGGTCCTGACACCAGGAGAGAGATGGGGAGCGTCCGGTCACAGGGGGGGAATAAAACAGTGACCCCCCCAAAAAACAAACAAAAAAAAGATTCCAACTTTTTTTTTTCCTTTTTCTTTTTTTTTCCTGTGTCTTTTTTTTTGTCTTTTTTTTTTTTGTTTTTGTTGTTTGCTTGTTTTTTTTTCTTTTTAAAGTGCAAAAAACTCTCTGCTGCCCAAGAGAGAGGTTCTTTGGACCGACCATTCATTGCAAAGGAAAAACGGCAGCGAAAAGTGGGGTGAGGGGAAGGAGAGAGGACGATGCAGCGGGGACATTCGTGCCAGTTCGGTCCCAGGCCGCAGCGCCCCGGGTTAAGACAGAGCAGCCTTCACCCCCCTTCCAACCATGGCCATGGTGGCCCCTAGAGTGCTTCATGATGCTGGGCCACGCGGAGAGGAGGTGGCGAGGAAGAGGAGGCAGCTCTTTGTCCTCCCCTCGTTCGTGAGCTCACTCACCCCTGGCTGATGCTTCCCGAGTCCTCCCTGAGCTCTGGTGTACCTGTAGGGTGGCCCCTGCTCCGGCCCCGGCCATCGCCTCGGTGCGGGGCTGCGCTGGGGACAGGCGGTGCTCCGGGAAGGCTGGCGCTGGCCCGGAGTGGAAGCGCGTTGTCCCCCAGCCTCGCCTCCCCGGGCGATGGGAAGAGCAGGATGCAAAGCTCCCCCCTCCCCAAGTCCTGGCCGGTGCTGTGGGGCTCCAGTCCTCGCTGTCAGAGCCACCGGGATGCAGGAGAGCGGTGCGAGAAGGAGGAGCTTGGACCCCAGCCCCTGCAGCTGGATGAGGGGAGCAGTGATGGGGCTGAGAGCGCAGGGGCAAGCGATGACCTGGTTGTGGCACGGAGGGGGACGTTTTGTTCCAGCTCTGCTCCCGCTTCTCGGAGAGACCTTGACCCTCAAGCTTTGTGCTAACGGGGAAGTGACAAAGTGTTTCAAGGCGAGGAGACAACGGGGAGGAAGGGGAAAGCTGGGATGGTGGGGGGGGGGGGGAAGAGGGTGCCCCAATTCTCTGCACAGAGATCTCTGTTTCAACCTCCACCTTGGGAGCGGCCAGCCTCCGGGCTGAGGCTCCCTGCCATGTGCCCGTTCCTCCTCTGGTACTGGCCAGCCTTGGCGGGACGTCTTCATCGGCAGAAGTCCCGGGGGAGGAGGAGGAGGAAGGACGGTGGAGCGAGGCCAGCAGCGGCCCTGCCTGCCGAGTCCGATGGGAAGCAGCGGCAGGACACAGAGGGCAAGGATGGGGATGTGGAGGAGCGGCTCTCCGAGAGGGGTGGGATGGGCTCTTTTTCCTTCTCCTCAGTCTGCCCCGGGGAGGGTCTCTAGCTGATCTTTTGGATCAGCTTCTCGTCAGACAGGCAGTAGAGGCTGTTGATGGACAGGTCCGAGATGAAGTGCTCACAGGCTTTGCGGGTGATCTGTTTGCAACCTCGCAGGTCAATGAGGGTGACGTTGGAGATGCGGCGCAGGTACAGCAAGGCCTGGTCCGTCAGCTTATTGCAGCCTGGAAGGAGGAGACGAGAGGAAGTGCGAGTTGAGCTCTCATGTCAGGATGGGAGGAGGAAGCTGTTTTAAGACAGCAAGTCCAGCCAGGCCACCTTTGGACCAGGAAGTTTGCCGATAACACCAAATGATGCAGTGCTATCCACATTACGGAGTGAAGGGATGGGATCCAGAGGGACCAGGACAGGCTGAAGAGGTGGGACCATGTGAACCTCATGGAGTTCAACAAGGCCAAGTGCAAGGTCCTGCTCACAGCATAGCTACAGGACGGGCAGAGAAGTGATTCAGAGGAGCCCTGAGGAGAAAGACCTGGGGGTGTTGTGTGAGGGGAAGCTCCCTGTGACCCAGCTTCAGTGTGTGCTTGAGCCCAGAACCCCCACTGGGTGCTGGGCTGCACCCCTAGGGCGTGAGCCGCAGCTCAGGGAGGGGATCCTGCCCCTCTGCTCTGCTCTTGTGAGAGCCCACTTGCAGCACTGGGTGCAGCTCTGGGTGTCCTCAGCATAAGAAGGACATGGAGCTGTCGGAGCAAATCAGAGGAGGCCGTGAGGATGCTCAGGGGCTGGAGCAGCTCCCGTATGGAGCCAGGCTGGGAACATTGAGGCTGTTCAGCCTGGAGAAGCTGCATGGAGACCTCAGAGCAGCTTCCAGTGTCTGAAGGGGACTACAAGGATACTGGAGAGGGACTCTTCATTAGGGACTGGAGCGACAGGACAAGGGGTCATGGGCTCAAACTGAAACAGGGGAAGTTCAGGTTGGATATAAGGAGGAAGTTCTTCCCTGGGAGGGTGCTGAGGCGCTGGCACAGGGTGCCCAGAGAAGCTGTGGCTGCCCCATCCCTGGCAGTGTTCAAGGCCAGGCTGGACACAGGGGCTTGAAGCACCCTGCTCTAGTGGAAGGTGTCCCTGCCCGTGGCAGGGGATTGGACCTGGAAGATCTTAAGTCCCCTTCCAACCTGAACCATCGCATCCCTCTGTGACCAGCCTGGGCCACCCGGAGCAGGAACCCACCTGCCATGTTGAGCTCGGTGAGGGAGTTGCGCGTGGAAGAGCCCATGGCCGTGAGGAGGTTGGCCGACTGGTCCGTAAGGTGGTTGCAGTGGCTGAGGTCGAGGCGGGAGAGCAGGGGCATGTGGCGGATGATCAGCCGCAGCGTGGCATCCGTGATGTCCAGGCCGGCGAGCCGGAAATCGATCATGTTCCGGAGCTTGCTGCGATTGTCCTGACCTGCAGAGGGAGAGGAGAGGCTGAGCGGGGACTTATCCACCCGGCTGCGCTGGGGTATTCCAGATCCAGCATCACCTCCCTGCTCTGTGCCCAAGAGGTCACCCTCCTCCAGCTCCCCATAGCCATTGGGACCCTCGTCATCCACCACCACCAGGAACAGCTTACTGGGTTTGTCTGTGGGAGGCGTGAGTAGATCCCGGATCTGAGGGTCCTTGATTCCTACTGCCCACCGAAGATCGAGGGTCCTGAGAAGGGGGCAGCTGGAGGTACTGAGAGCACAGACCGCAGACCAGGAACAGCCCGCTAAGATGAGGTCTTTCAGGCCTGACAGCACAAGGGAGAGGGAACGAGTCAGACAGGCTTGGTTAGCTCCAAGGCATCCCAGATCTCATCCCTTTTGTTTTCCAAGCACAGGAAAAAGCAGCTCCTCTCCCTGCCTGGAGTGGGATAGAGAGCTGGGCTCTCTGATGGAGAGCAGCAGGAAACCACATCGCTACCGGCTGCTTGCTGCAGGGATGCAGGCACCAGGGTGTCTCCTGCTGGGCTCCAGCCATCAGGAAGCCTGGGAGCAGGGACAGGGACCCCATCCCATCCCACCCTCACCTGGGAGCCTGTTGACGAGCCACGTGAGCTGCTTTTTGGAGATGTTGGTCCAGCTGAGGTCGAGGCTGACGGGCTGTCTCTTGATGATGCCGCTCAGCGCCTGTGGGGTGATGGACTTGCACCGGCTCAAATCGATCTTTGTCCACAATCTCTTGTCACAGCACCTGGGGGCAAGGACAAGGTGAGCCCCGTGGGGCAAGAGATGACAGCCAGCAGGTTGCCTGACTTTAGGAAGGAGAAGCCCAGCCTTGGTGTGGTCCCAGATGCAGAACAAGGCTGCTCTGCCTGGTCTCCCCAACACGAGGAGAGGATATCCAGCCATACAGGGACACCCAAAACAACTCCAGCAGGCTTTTGCTGCCGTGTAACAGGACTGGGAGTTGCAGCTCAGCCTGTTTGCCCCCTCCTGGGTGCTCCTCCTGCCACGGCAAAGATCTTAAGCATCCCTGCTCCCAGCAGACGAGACATTCAGCCTGGTTCCACCCCATGGCTCCGACAGTGTTTTGCTGCTGTGCCAGCAACTGCAACAGAGCCTGGAGGTGGCTTCTTCTCCCATGGGAACGTGGGGAGACCCAGGAATCGATGGCAGCTCCGCTGTGAGTCTGAAAGTGCCACCCTAGTGAGGGGGGGAGAGGATGCTCTCCTCCAGCCATCACACACCATTCCCACCCACTGCTGATAAAAGTGGGCTGGTCCTTTCCCATCGTGCCATTCCTGCTGCTCAGCAGTTAGAAACCTCCCAGTTTCCAGGCTGTTCCCAAGCCCTCCATCCACAGCTGTCCCTGTGCCAGCATTGTCTTCTGGGCCTGCGGCCCCCCGAGGCGTTTCCAGCCAGCAAACCCATTCCCCGCCTCAGCCAGCCCTCCCCTGCCTGCTGGGAAGCAGGGACAGGGAAGGACAAGGGCAGCGGGAGAGGAAAGGGCATCAGCACCTTGCAAGGACACGGGTACTCAGGTGACAGCACAGCCTGCCTCTGCCACCCAGCAGAGGGGACAGGAGGAAGGCAGAAGGAGACAATACAGACCACTGCACGTATGGCAGAGGCAGCAGCCAGCAGGCTCCGAGTGCAACGCTGCCTGGGATGTGCCTCTGCCAGAGAGGAAAGGGAGGGCACTGACTGGAGATCCCTTCTCCCCTTCCCACACGGCTGTGCCTGGTGGTGGGATGAGGACACGGGCTGTCCCCTCCTGACCCTCCCCGTCCCCACACTCACCACTTGTACCAGGTCTTGCACACCCGCATGCACTCGCAGAGCTCCCTGCGGGTGAGGTAGCGGAAGACAGACATCCACACCTCGCGCTGCATGCAGCTCTCGTCGCCCTCCTGCCCCCGGCCCCCTCGGCCATTGAGCCGGGCCGCCCCCCCTTCCTCCGCGTTCTCGTCCTCCTCTTCCTCTTCCTCCTCCTCCTCCTCGGCGGCTGCTTCGTCCTCACCCCCGCCCCGCAGGGGCATCCTGGTGGGTGCGTGACGCATGACCACGCGCGGCGAGTGCTGCAGGTTGGTGGAGGAAGCCGTGATGGCTTGCAGCTTGGGGACGATGGAAGTGCCATGGACGTCTTTGGTGGGGCGCTGGAGCGTGACGGTGAGGTAGGAGCCGTGCAGCTTGGCCTTCTCCACCTCCGACAGCTCCTTCTTGCCGCTGGGGTTGTTCTCCTTCTCCCTCACCATGGTTCTCTCGGTGGCCTGGAGCCGCAGCAGCTGCCGCCGCTTGAAGCGCTCGTCCCTGCTGGCGCTGTGGTGGTCGCTGGGGCCGGCTCCCGGGGACGAGCGCGTCACCATGCCCCGAGGTGATGCTGGGTCGTGGATCAGCTGCAGCATTGGGGTGGGAGAGTTGGGAGGGGGGGTCAGGGGCTCCTCGCAGCTCCGCAGGGGCCGCAGCACCTTGGCTTGCGCCGTGTCGTCGTCGCTCTCCTCCACCTTCCGCTTCTGCGGGGAAGAGGGGGGGCAGCTTAGTGGGGATGGAGCCTGTGGTGGGGCTGGGGAACGTGTCCCCTTCTCCTGGGCAACATCATGGTGCTGGCAATACCACCAGGACCAGAGTCAACCCGCATCAGTAACCGACGTTTTCCTCCTTCCTTCACAAACGGGGTGTCCCCAAGGTTTGGGATGGCTCCCACTCTGTGCCTAACAGTCCCCTGCTTCTTGCAGCAGAAGCTCTGGGGATCACAGCTCAGCACAAGGCACCGTAAGGACAAGGGGTGCTCACTGCGTCTGCATGAAGCACTGGGGGACCCAGGAACCAGGCAGATGTGCACCCCAAGCACGCACATCACTCAGCAGAAGGTGCTCCAGGGAGGCTGCTCCCTGCCTGGCTTGCCTTTGCTGCCACACTTCCATTCACAGCAGTGGACAGGGCTCTATAGTTGATGCAGCAGCCATAGGCTGGTGTCTTGGGCAGTGCTGGCAGCCACTGGCTGCCACCACACGGTCACCTGCTGGCTCAAGAGGGACCCATCTGCCCCTGCTGCTTCTGCCAGGGGAGCCAGGCACAAAGAGCTGGGGGCTGACAGCTCATCCCCCTGTGAGACCCCAGGACCAGACTGCAGCAGGAGACTGCCAATGACCCCACTGTCACTCGCTGCTGCCCTGGATTGCAGCTGCAACCCACCACTGCCCAACCCCTAGCAGGATGCAGTGGGATGGAGGTCACACTTCCTACCTGTCCCTTCTCTGAGTCATCACCCTGGTAGCACTTAGGGCACTCCCAGCAGTTGGGGAGCTCATCGTTGAGCAGCCCTTCGCCATCCATCTGCAAAGAGAAGGGGGAAGTGAGCACCAGGCCTTCCCCCCAGCCAGGCTCCCTCCTCCCCGGTGCCCGTGCAGCTCACCTGCAGGCAGCCAGGGTGAACGATCTCGTTGCAGATACAGCACTCCATGAGCTTCTTCTCAAAGTCCTGCGAGTCCTCGTTCTGATCCACCTCCCCACAAAGTGCACACGTGACCGAGTGAGGCAGCCTGGGCTACAAAGGAAAGCAGGGGTGAAACCAGGGCAAGGTGAGACAGCTTTTCCCCTTTCCTCCTCCTCTTTCCCACTGAATCATGGGGAAGGAGATAATTATCCCCCAGGAAGTGAATTTCATAGAATCACGGAATGGTTTGGGTTGGAAAGGACTTTAAGATCATCCAGTTCCAACCTCCTGTCATGGGCAGGGATGCCTCACACTAGACCATGTCACCCGAGGCTCTGTCCAACCTAGTCTTGAACACTGCCAGGGATTCAGCATTCACAGCTTCTTTGGGCAACCTGATCCAGGGCCTCACCACCCTCACAGTAAAGAACTTCTTCCACATCTCCAACCTGAACTTCCCCTGTTTCAGTTTGAATCCATTACCCCTTGTCCTGTCACTACAGTCCCTGACGAAGAGTCCCTCTCCAGCACCCCTGCAGCCCCCTTCTAGACACTGGAAGGCTGCTATAAGATCTCCATGCAGGTTCTCTTCTGGGCCCAAATGTTCTCAGCCTGTCTTCATTCGGGAGATGCTCCAGCCCCTGACCATCCTCATGGCCCTCCTCTGCCCAACCCTGCTTGGCCACACAGAGTTCCCAGTGGACTTCACAGCAAAGGATGATGCCGCAGACTCACTGCTAAGCACTGCCGGAGGACGCAGGACTGCTTCATGCGGCCAGGGCCGCCGAACTTCTTCATGTCCCTGCAGTAGTGGCACATGCCACACTCGCCCTGCATGCAAGCCTTGCACTTTCGGCACCGCACCCGCCTCCGCCGGGCGCCGGACACGATGGGAGACACCGTGGACCTGACGGGTGTCGGGCGAGGGGTTGGCTTCATGGTGTGTGGTTTGGTGATGGGGATGGTGGGCAGGCGCACCCGCAGCCGGGCCTGGAGCTTTAGCTGCCGAGAGAAACGGAGAAGGAAGTGGTGTGAGAGAGTGTTCAGCTTGGAGCAGAACGCCGCTGATCCGCAGCTCCCTCGGATAACGTGACAGCAGCCCCGCTCCATCACCTCTCTGCAGACAAAGGAGCCTGTATCATGCTCCAGCACGCCACAAGCCAAGAGCTCTCCTTCCTCCCACCCCCCATCAGGAGTCAGCAATGGGTCTGAAAAGGGCTGCTGAGGCTCAGAAGTGGTGCTCCAGGAACAGCCGCGCTTTCCTTTGGTCCACCCAGGCAGCCGGAAAGGGGGTCCTTGATTTGTGCTGCCCAGGTCCCTCTGCAGCTGTGCAAGGGCACAGGGCCCAGCTCTGATGCGAGAGCTCTGGTTGCAGAATCCCAGCCTGGTTTGTGTTGAAGGGACCTTAAAGCTCATCCAGCTCCAACCCCTGCCATGGGCAAGGAAACCTTCCACTAGAGCAGCTTGCTCCAAGCCCCTGTGTCCAACCTGGCCTTGAACACTGCCAGGGATGGGGCAGCCACAGCTTCTCTGGTCACCCTGTGCCAGCGCCCCAGCACCCTCACAGGGAAGAGCTTCTGCCTAAGAGCTCATCTCAGTCTCCCCTCGGGCAGGTTCAAGCCATTCCCCTTGGCCTGTCCCTACAGGCCCTTGTCCCAAGCCCCTCTCCAGGTTTCCTGCAGCCCCTTTAGGCACTGGAGCTGCTCTCAGGTCTCCCCTTCAGGAGCCTTCTCCAGGCTGCCCCAGCCCAGCTCTCTCAGCCTGGCTCCAGAGCAGAGCTGCTCCAGCCCTCACAGCATCTCCATGGCCTCCTCTGGCCTCCCTCTGTCAGCTCCACGTCCCTCTTGTGCTGCTGCCCCAGAGCTGGATCAGGACTGCAGGGGGGGGTTCTCCCCAGAGCACAGCAGAGGGGAAGAATCTCTTCCTCTGACTTGTTTGAGGTGTGCTGAGGACACCCAAGCACCCCTGTACAAGATGCAGGTTGGACAGCACAGCTCTCCAGCAGACGTCAGCCCTCAGAGCTGTAGCATCCTTCACGACGGGCAATGCTGGTGTGCACACCACAACTGATGGGCTTGGGGAAGGGCAGGCACCCAAAAAACCCAGCACAAAGACAAGGTTAGGCATGTGCCAAGCATCTGAGTGCTGCATCCAAAGCCTGCAGACATCTCCAGGTCTTTTCTCCCAAAAAAGCTTCCAGAGATGCTTGTGCTGCTCAAGGACCAGCAAATCACTGTGGATCCCCTTGGGCAGGGCAGGCAGAGACAGGCACCTCCAATCCTAGAGGGCTGTCCCTCTCTAGATACCCAGACAGGGTATTGTTATCCATCCTCCCCAGTGCAATGGGGTGCTGCTCTTCTCATATGGCTGCCCATGAGCCTGTCTCCTGGCAGGAAGGAAGCAGTGACCTACAGGAACCATGCTGGTGGGCTATGGGAAGGCAGCCTGCAGAGGGGAAGTCCAACTGGACAATGGCTGCTCCTTGCCTCTATCTGCCCATCTGTGGCCCAGCTGTGGAGGGAAGGGCAGGAGCAAAACCAAAGATTCTTTTCCTGGCTGCTGCCTGCAGGTAGAGACCCCCCAGGGAGGGAGCTGTGTTCCCTGGGGTTGCAAGAGCCAATGCTGCAGCACAGCAGTGTGCTGGCAGGGGCAGGGACCCAAGGGACACGCTCACCTAGCAGTGAGGGGCTGGGCAGGCAGGGTTGATGCTGACCATCATTCCTTCCCCTTGCCCTTCATCTCTCAGGGAACACAACAGGGATACGTTCACCTGACACACAGCACTACCCACACCACCCAGGCCTTCCATGGTGGGCCAGAGAGCTGCTGGTGAATGCCCTTTAGAGGATCACACTTGCATCAACAGCAGGGCTCCAGCTCCTCAGAGAACGACTGAAGGAGCTGGGGCTGACCCAGTTACCACCCACTGGCTGAGCTGGGGTAACCACAGGGTGGGAGACCTCCACCGCTGCCCACAAAGGGCTGTGGAGCTGGTTGCACCCCATGCCCTGCCCTGGCACTGCTCCTTTTCCACCCACTGCCTTGGCCTCCAGAGGCAGGTATGAAAGTGGTGCTACCATATCCCATTAACAGCCCAGGGTAGGTCATCATCTCAACCACACACAACACCCACCCATGTCCCCTCTGTGCAGCTCCTACCTTATCTCTCTTGGGCCACTGGACGATGGGGATGCCTGTAAGTGCCAGTTTGGGGTCGCTGTTTGCGTACTCTTCTAGCAGCAGCTAATGGAGGGAGATGGGGAGAAGCAGAGAGACAAGAAGCACAGGTATGAGTGCAATGAAACAAGGCGGGCTCTGACCTGATGCCAACATGCTTCCAAGAGGGCTGGGAAGGAGCTCTCCCCATCCCCATCCCCATCCCACCCCCGCCAGCAGCGATCCCTCCTCACATCACACAGCCAAGCTCTGTCGAGTCGATCTGCACCAGCGCTTTCATCAACTGCATTTCAGCCCCGAGGCCCCGCGCTGTGCAGGGGTGGGGGGGAAGAGTGTGCCAAGCTTCTGCAATCCATTGGGATTTACAGGGGAGGATGCAGGAGGGTCAGTCCTCATTGTTCCCCCTGCATGGGGCAGCTGGAGGGTGCAGCGGTGGCAGGATGCGGTCCCCCAGCAGCCCCTCCACAGCCTGGCACAAGCTGTGGGGAGCCAAGAGCTGCTCTCCTGCATTGCCTCGGGGTTTGGCGTTAACATAAGGGATGCTCAGCACCCACCGGATAGGCATGCTGGCACCCTGGCTTGGGGTGGATGGATGCTCCCCCATCCCTTTCACCCTCCTCCTCCATCACCTCCCCACCGAATTTGGGTGCTTTATTTACTTGGCGTTGCCATGGCTACGCTGGAACCTCCTGCCTGCATCCCGGTGCTGCTTCCCGCTGCCAGGCACGGCCAGGGCAAGGGCCGGGCCAGAGCCCCCCCCCCTCGCCGGGTATCCAGCTCCGCGGGGAGGGGGGTATCCAAGCCCCTGGCTCCAGCCTGGCTTTCCGGCGTTCCCCCCCTCCTCCTCGGCTGGCTGCGGGAGGCAGGAAGCTGCTGCAGCCTCCCCCTCCGCTCCCCTGCTGCCTACAGACCTTCCGCCTCCCCCCAGCCTTTCCCATGAGCACACGCTAGAAGGAAAGGTCAGGGGCTGGGGGCTCACATATATATATATATATATATAAAAATAAATACATATAAATACATATAAATACATCTATATAACCTATAGATCACACACACGGGCAGGGAACCGCAGCCTCCCCCTTGCTCGGAAGCAGTGTGGGGGTGCTGGTGGTGGCTCAAGCACATTTCCAGCCATGGGGGTCCCAAGGGGCTGCTGTCGGAGGCGGAGAACCCGGGTGCTCCGGCTGCATCGGGGGTGGATAAAAGCCTCCTTGTCCCCTCTGCCCATGGGGACAAGCAGAGGGGTCCCTGCGAGCGCACCGCACGCATCCCCCAGCCGGAACGCGCTAGCCGGCAGAAGGGGAGAGGAGCGGAGAGAGCCCAAGCACCAGCCAGGGATCCCCGCTATGGAAACAGGGGTGTCCCGTCCCCCCCCGTCCCCCCGCCCCCGCGCTCCCCTTCCAGCCTGGTTGTGCCGAGCGCGTCCCCGCGTCCCCTCCCCGTCCCAGGAGCGCTGCCACCCGCCTGACCTTGCGCCTCTGGAGCTGCCGCGACTCCGGGGTGAAGTTTGCCGAGCCCTCTTTGTTCCGAGTGCCCCCCCTCCACACGGCCCCCTCCAGGGGCTGCCTCAGTCTGAGCGGCCCCAAGCAGGACCCCCGGTTTTTAGGGACATGGCTGGGGGAGCAGCGGGACCCCCGGCCCTGAGCGCTGCCGCTTGCCGCGGGGCTCCGGCAGCCGCCCCGGCAACCGCGTGTTCCTCCCGAGCCTTTGGGCAGCAGCAGCGGCAGCTTCCTGAGCCTCAAACAATGCTGCTGCGTCACCCACATGCGGTTCCCAGCAATGCTTTGCAACGGGAAGATGGCAGAAGAGAGAGAGAGAGAGAAAAAAAAACCGAGGCAACGTTGGAGCAGAGAGGGCAGAGCCGTTCTGCTGCAGCGCCGGGAGGGGCCGGCACGGGCGGCTGGCGCCTCGCCGATTGGCGCAGGGACACGGGCGCTGGGGCCCACCTCCAGCCCTCAGCACCAGCCCCGAGCCCAGGACCAGGCTCCCCAGGGCAAGGGTAAAGCGTAGCCAAGAGCTCGGACACCCCCCACCCCCCCCCCCCGCACCGCCTTTCTTTTGTCTTCGCCGAGGTGGGTTTGGGGGGTTCCTGGGGGATGCGGGAGCCAAGCGGAGGCAGGAGTGGGGTGAGGGAGGGGGGAAAGGGGTTGGAGGTGAAGGCACAGGGGGGAGCTGCCCTTTGGAAGGTGGGGGCTGCAGGGACTGCACCCAGCCTCCCTCGACAAACATCCCCTTTGGAGCTGCTGGCGTCCCAAAGCCATCAGTGACCCAAACACTGGATGGGGACGACCACGCTGGGTGACACAAGGTCTCCCCAACCATCACCCAGGTCCCCCAGGACCCCAGCTCCAGCTACACAGCACCACAGTTCAAATGAAGGGAAGGCTGGAAATGAAGCAAGTGCCCAAAGCAGCAATGGAGAACAGAGGCTGATCCCACGCCTGGTGCAGCCAAAGCATCTCCAGCAGCTCCAGCTCATCTGTCCTGTCGCCAGGTACCTTGACCAGATATCTGGGTCCAGACTGTCACCATCTGAGCCACCAATACCACCCACAGGCTCTCTGCAGACCAGTGCTGCTGTCCCAACCCAGGGGGAACCTTGTTAGCACAGCTCAAAGGCTACCCTGACCTTTCTCATCCACCCCTGGTGGAAGCATCCCCTGTTCCTCACCAAGGCTTCTCCGTGTCCCATTGCACTGCAGCGAATGGGAAAGCCAATTGCAGCTGGCAGATTGACTGGGCAGGGAAAGGAGAGCAGGAAGCACAGGGAATGCTTCAGGCAGATGTGACCTACAGGAGGAGGAGATGGGGACAGCAACATGTGTTTGCAGAGAAGATGCCTCTGATCATGGGGAGACCCAACACAACAGAGCCATGTATGAGGGCAGTGCTACACCGGAGGCTTTGAGATGAGCTCAAAGCACGTCTGGGAGAGGTTCTTCTTGCTTGGTGCTCCACCACCTCCATGCAGAGCCCAGATATAACCCATTTGTGACAGCTACCAAGGCCACAGGGTTTGGTGGCCCTGCAGCAAGAGAATGGTTCAAACGTAGGCTCAGCTCCCCTGAGTTCAGCAGGTCCCATCCTCATGAACCATCCCGCTCCTTTGATGTCCAAGTGATGGAAACCAGCACACCCCAAGAGGTGGGTCCATCAGAAGTGATGGACAGGAGCAACCAAGACACAACAGAGCCTCTCAGAAGAACCGCCTCTGTCACTGATCTTTCTGATGACCCCAGTGCAGACCATGCACAGAAGCATCACCAGATGCATGGAGGCTTTCCATCAGTACTTCAGTGCCACAAAACAATGTGTCTCAACCTCATTTTGCAAAGGCAGATCTTCTCCTGGGGCAGTGCTAAAGCCTTTTTGACTCCTGCTGGTCCTCTCACTTAAGCCACTGGAGAGCATCTCTCACAGTCACTGGTTCAGAGATGGTGATGTGGTGACACCAGCAGCTTTCCAAGGCAAAGCTAGATGAGGCAACATGCTCTTCCTATTCAAGATGCCCAATGCAGCCCTGTCTAGGATGGGTTTAAAGTGCCAACAGATGGACAATCCCTCCTGCCATGGAACTAGAAGCACATCTTTGTCATGTCCAAAGTGTCACATCCCACCATGTGATGACTCCAGGCTCAACCCATGACAAGATACAGAAGTGTGTTCCTTCACGTGACCCAACATACAGACATCCTGGATTCGTGACCACACAGGAGGCTGTGGGAAAGGGAAGCATTCTCCTGCTTCCCACCACCACAGCATCTGCTGACTGGACCCTTGGAGGGACCGAGTTGATTCTGTGCTTCTTTGGGAGCAGGTCTTTCCCAAAGTCCTCATCCCAGGTCCACTGATGACCTCACCTGCTGAGATGTAAAGGTTGGGAGAGTACCTGGTGCAGATCAGTGGCCTCAGAGTCAGGCTAAGATGCTGCGTAGGATGTATGGTTTCCATTTAGCTTAAGTCACTGAAAGTGGAGTAGGGTCTAATTCTCCACTAGCACAAAAGGAAGAACAGATGAACATAAAGGACTCAGGTCTGCAGTGCAGCATGAGGGATCCTACACGGATTATGTCTCCCAGGAGCAGCAAGGAAAGGTAGGATCACCAGAACAAGCCCAGAGAAAGGAAGGGCTGTGCTTAAACACAGCCATGGCAGGACTGTGCTCTGGGAGTGCAAGAACATAACAGCCATCAGAGGAGGGAAGCTTCCAAAGGAAACCTGACTGGCTTAGGATCTACATCCCACATCATGAGCGATGGTTGCATAGATGGAAACTTCACACCTCTTGCTTGGTAACAACTTGTCCTGCTTTAAAAAATAGAATAAATAGAGATGGTGTTCTCCATACAAGCTGTTGATATTGAAAACCAGACCTTCACTCATTGGGCTTTTCAGTGATCAGGGCAGTTATAAAAGGGTTAGCTACAAACGTCTTCCCCCTTGCCAGGTTTTAGAAGCCAACTTCTATTTGCCACTTCCACCCCCTCTAAGGACAAGGCAGGCTTTGAAGGCAGATTTGCTGTAGTTTGAGAAACTTGTCCCGTTTCCTCTGCCACTGCAGCCTGATAAAGGATCTTCATTCCCCAAGGATCCTCCATAGCACAGCCTTTACTTGGGAGGCCGCTGGTCCTGAGAAACAGAGCCCTGCAGCTCAGGATCCTCCTGTACCTCAGAGAACAGCTTTAAGGTGCAAGTCCTTCAGGGAAGCCGTTTGCTCTGACCACACTGCAGGGACTGTCACCCACAGCCCAGCTGTGAGCTACAACCAGACAGGGGCTGGTGAGTCACACCAAAACCACAGGCACATCCATCAGCTCCACAACAACCAAGCCCTTTGAGCAGGTCTCAAAACCCAGCTGAACATTGGCAACCTTGAATGTTCTGTCTTCAAAACACCCAACACACCCCATTGGCCTCCCTGTTTCAGTCCAAGAAGGATGAAACACAGCTCAAAGCTTAACTTCCTCCAGAGCTTCATCCGGTTTGTAGTAAGGGTGAGGCCACCCCACTGCAGTGGCTCAGGAACACACGTGTTGAGTACTTGAAGAAGCCACAGGAAGCCAGAAGCACAGCCCTCCAGCAGCACCTACTCACACTCCTTTAGCTCTACCAGAGCTTGGCCTGCACACAACAGCTCACCCTGGCACCCCAAAGCCGCACCCATTGCTCCAAACACAGCACAGCACTGGATTTACCACGTAAAACTGTCAGGAGACAGCATCTGGAACCAAGAAACATGATGGCAAAGACCAGGATACACCCATGGCTGTGTCTGGATGTCAGCTTTGGTACAGGCAAGCAGCTGAGCAGATCACCATCAGCAAGGAAGGGAGAAGGTGGTAACTGTGGTCTGAGGGATTAAACTGGATTTCTGGGGAGGAGTGAGGCTGAAAGGGCTGAGACAGCTCCTGGAGGCAGCTCAACAGGTTTGGCAGATATGGCTCAGCAGTGTAAAGCAGGATGGGGAGAAGGGGTAAGGTTCACATTACCTAAGGCCACATCCTGGGCAAACAACCCAAAGAAACCAAATCCACCTGGGGCAAGGGAAGGGCTCTAACTGTCAGCGTCCAGCAGCTCAAGGAGTCCACAGCCAGAACTGGACGCAAATGGCATCACAGACAAGCACCCTTGCACTGACACCCATAAGGGACCCAGACAGGGCCCAGAGGGTCTCCAGAGGAGTCTCAGCCATGCTGCTCAGCCCTGACCCAAAATCCAAGCCATGGGTGTCCCTCAACATCAACTGGTGCAATATAAGCCTCATGGAGAGGAAGGACCCCAAGTCTGCAGACACATCACCCCCTCAATCCAGGACAGCGAGATAAGGTCAGGATCAGACCACATGATCTTTGGTTGCCAGCACCCTGGCAACCAAAGGAACTTGCATCCCCATCACACCTCCCTACCTTGACGTCAGCGATGAGAGCATCCTCATCCTCAATGCCGGTGGGAACACACTTCTTGTGCAGGGGGAGTGACTCCAGCTTGTCCACGAGGCAGCGCAGCCCCTCCAGCTCAAACTGGGTCAGATGCACCTTCCTGCTCTTGCGTGGGCTGCCTCCATTGGGATCACAGGCCTGGCCATTCTGGGAGCCCCGGCTGGAGTCAGAAGAGTCTATAGATGGGGTCTTCTTCAGACCTGGAAGGCTGCTCCGGCAGCTCTTGCCCAGTTCATCATAGTCCACATTGGCACCGTTGGCAATGGGGCTGGTGAGAATGGACCTCCTTGTGATCGGTCGCCGGGGCTCCTTCCCTGTTCCATCCTCATCCTCTTCCTCCTCCTCTTCCTCTTCCATGTTTACCGAGTCCGAGGAGCTCAGCTCCATATCTGCCATGATGGAGAAGGAGTGAGAAGAGCACAGTGGCCAGGCACTCACAGAAGGGGTTTCTAGAGAAGTCCATCAGAGATGTTGGAGCAACAGATATATTATGGGGACAAAGCAGAAGGAAAGGATGGGACATTCTGCAGTTGGAAAAGAACAGCTAAAACCTTTTCCCATTCCTGGCTCATTTTGTGGGAAGGCGAGGCACAGGACATAGGAAAACATCCAAGAATTGGAGACAGCAACACCCTAGATAGGATTTCATACAATACTAGAATGGTTTGGGTTGGAAGGGACCTTAAAGATCATCTAAGTCCAACCCATGGGCAGGGGCATCTTTCACTGTATCAGGTTGCTTGAAGCCCCATCCAACCTGATTTGCTTTGGAGGGCTTGGGATCTGCAGACATTTGGTCCTGAGTGACTTGAGACCTTGATCCTGCCTTCACAGTGGGAAAAAGAGGATGCGGACTTTAACTAGATGATTGTGAGGCCTCTTGGCCTGATGGTGCACGATAAAACACCCGTCTCTGACAGCTCTCCTGCTCCCTTCCTCTCAGCTCCCTGCATTAGTTCCCACTTCACACTGCTCAGCGGTAAAGGTGATGAAGGTGCTGGAGACCGCCAGGCAGGAGGACAGAGATGGCCTTTCCCAAACCAAGTGCTGAAGGGGGTCTTCAGGGAACCACAGGGAAAGGACAAGAACTGGGAGCTGTTTCCCTCTGCTAGAGCTCCTTGGACAGAAAGCCCCAAAGAGGCTGTAGCTGTGAGGAGAGGTGCCCTCGGGTCAGTAACCACAGCCTCTGAGGGGAGTGAGGACAGATTTGCCTCAAGGGCCTTGGGTGGATGCTGTTCAGCTTTCTCCTGCTCTGAAGAAAGGTCTCTCCGTAAGAAACCATCTCTTGTAAGGAGGCCAAACATTCCTTTTGCAAGAGACTCCCTGCACACATAACTTTGACAGTGCTTTAAACTCTGTGTGGAGGAAGGTCCTGATCAGCCAGAAGGCATTTCTGCCCCACAGCACAGCAGTGGGGACTTCAACTTCCCTCCACCTCTTCTATTAAAGGCTTTGTGTGTACCAGCAAGGGCAGGAACTTGTGTGCTGGTTTTACACAAGCAAAGGAACCTGGCCTGTACCAAAAGAGGAAGCAAAACTGTCTGGTTTTGACTGCTTGTTCAAACAGAAAGAAAGAAATAGCACCTCCTTTGGCCAGTGTGCAACACCATCAGCTGTCCTGACTGCTCAGTGCAGCAAACAGTGCTAAGGGAGGAAACACCCACAGAAACACCTTGTGAAACTGAGGAATTGATGGTTCCAAAGTGATTCTTCCCCTGGCCAGCACCCCACTGAGCCAGCCAGCACCCCTTCAGGAGGGTGCTTTGACACAGGTGAGGGAGGAATAATGGCTGGATGGTCAATGCAGGGGGCTTACCCATACTGAGTGATTCCTTCTGGAAGTCCTTGGTGAGATGGGAGCGGCTGGTGATGCAGTAGACATAGCGCTCCAGCACGTACCAACACATCTCATAATAGAAGGGATAACGAAACTTATTTGGGACCTGCAAAAGAGGAGAGGAAAAAGGGGTTGGCTCAGGCCTCCTCCACCACCAGACAGCACAGAGATAGCTCTTATTTATCACTGCTGCCTCAAACCAGACTGATCCCCTCCTGAGAGACAGGAAACGCATGTACATGTGTAACAGCATCATTCATCCTTCTGGCAGCCTGATGTAATTCTCCTTGCAGGAGGATGTTATCACCAAGCAGAGCAGAGACCAGGCACTATTCACTTGCAAGCCATTAACATTTCATTTCTCTTTGTTAGGGTTGCAGCTCTTCCCCCACAGACCTTCTCATCAGTACAAGAAGAAGTGGCAGAGTGCCACAAAAGGTTGCAGCTGAAGGGAAGAGGTTCAAGACCTCCTCCCAAACCACAGCACAGCATCTGACAGGATTGGTATGAAGGGAAAGAGTTGGTCTATGCAGAGGTTTAATCAGGCTCAGCTATTTAGCAGAGTGCTATCAGGGCTCTGTCACATCAGTGCCAGCAATTCACAGGCTGGCAGAAGATGCTCCTGACCCTGCTGCTGTTCTCACCTTCCTGAGGCTACTCAGACGGCGGACCTGCATCATCCTGTGTCTCAGCTACTCTGGATGATGGTCTGACATCCGAGTGCTAACCGCAAGTCCTGCCTGCTGCAGCACCCTAAACTGCTTTGGAGAAGCCATCAGGCTGTTCATCATAGCCCTGAAGCCTCTCTGCACAGCAGGACCCATATCTCCACAAGGTGCAAGTAAGAACACCTGCTTGCCAACAGCATGCTCTGCTCCAGACCTGTACATTTAGGAGGCTTGGACATTACGCTTACAGAGAGCTGGGGGTGGAGCCATCTGTCCCAGGGGGAGATGACTTCTCTGCCTGCACAGCACTGCTCTTGGCTGTACCCTCCTCACCACCCCAGGAGCCCACATCCTCCCACCTTCTCACAGGTCCTTACCCGTGTCCGGTCTTCAATGCTGTAGATCCGGAGCTGCATAGGGATGTTGAAGCTGTGTAAGAAGTTGCCTCCAAACACTAGTGTGTCCATGGGGGTGTACACAGCATGGATCCAACCTTGGAGAGAAAGCAGAGCTTGAAGCATCCTGGGGGAGGTCAAGGTCTCACAACTGACAGTCCCTACTAATTCAAACACTGCTGCACCACTCAATACCAGCTCACTTGATCCCACTAATGGCTAGAGACAGACTGGTACTCAAGCACTTCAATACACCTATGGATCTGTCCTCTCATGGTGGCCCATGTGCCTGTATCCACCTCCTGTCCAATGCTTTTTGTCATCCTACCTCTGGAGCGGCCTTGTATTAGGCCTAAGAAGGAAACAGTCTTCCAAAGGCTGGTTAACTGTTAAAATACCCTCCAAGGAATACAAATTCCAGCTCTGTTACCTTCAAGGCCAAGCAATGCAGACAAGCCCAACGTTTTGGGTATTGCAGCCTGGGTTTCGTTAAGGCAAGGGCACTCAATTCAAAAGAAGAGTCAGTTGTGATAACAGGACTCAAATGAGTAACTTGTACAACCCCTGTGGTTTTCTGTTCTGGTCCTGCTGTAAGTTACAGCGCAACCCTGCACAGCTGTTGGAGATGACACAGGGTTACGGCAGCCATTGACACCAGACACAGTCTTATGGACACAGTTTATATGCAACAGTTATTAGCAGGGGTCCAACAATGTTTCTCCTGACAAGGGACTATTCCCTAGGGCAAGAGGAACAAGTTACAGACATCCCAGGCCTCCATCCCAGGTTCTAAAATGTCAGTCCTTGCAACCAACCGACTTGAGCTGCTTTTTCATCTGCCTCATCTCTTCTGCCTCTGCTCTTCTCTAGCACTGCACTGAGCTAACTGTGCATGCAGATACTGCTGATGCCCTCCAGTTATTCTGCTTCCTAAACCAAGTCAGGCTAAAGGATTCTTTTAACTCTTGAGTGTTAACCTCATTCCCAACCTCAGTCTCCTTGCCCAAGCTCTCTGCAAAGCAGTTACCTGCAAGTCTCTCCCTGGTTTTGCTTCCCAGCTCCCTGCTGGGTTTCAGTGTTTTCCAACATCCCATTTTCTAGCTATATGCTTTTCAATCTTCCCATTTCCAGTACATGCAGACTGTTCCATTGCCTTTCCTTGTGCCCAGAGCAGTCACCTTGCTCCTTAAACACACACACACACACACACACACACACACACACACACTGGCTCCCTTCCTTGCTTCACAACTGGACTGTAACTGTACAGTGATCTCACAAGCTGTGAGGCTGAGGAGGCTGAGGAGCTGTGCTGCCTTGGACACCACTCTGCATGTCACCATGAAAAGCACTGGGAAAGCCTCCTTTAGTGACTATCCAGAGCGATGTGAGCCAGCCACAGCTTTCCCATCACTTGGGCTGAATCCACAGTGCCATGACAGGCATGTTTTGAGAGCTGGCAAGCAAGAGGAGGGAGCCACGTCACATCTCCCTCTCCCAATTACATGAAGAGGAAGCTAAATCCTGCCTCTTCCCAGTTTGTGTCCTAGGAGTTTTAGTCTCTTGCCACAACCCCAGCAAAGGCCAGGAGGGACCTGCCCACCCTGTGGTACCTGAGGGGATGACAAATGTGTAGCCCTGCTTGAGCTCGATGCGCTGGCACTCAGACACTCTGTCCCCAAGGAAAATGTCTCCCTGCTTCCCTGAGAGAAGCCAGTTTTCATAGAGCTCCAGGTTCTGCGGTGTAGGAGGGATCAGCCAGAAGATCTGCAGATGAAGATAACACGTGTATGCAAGTCATAACGTAACTGACAGCTATTAAATACTGCCTGCTTCTTCCAAACCTCCCCTGCTCCCTCTCCAGACATCTAAATCTGTTCCTTTCCCCACCAGAAGATGCAAATCCAGAGACATTCCCAGTAAAGCAACCTGAACACATGTCCCATTGGAGAGGGCAAGCTGCCGAGTGAGATCTTTCCTGACCTAACTCACTGAGCACCACAGGCAGACTGAGCTTGGGATGCTTTGTGAGGTTTTGTTCCTATCAGTGTTAAGAGACAGAGCCCACCAAAGACACCAGAGTATCAGAGACAAAGAGATACCCACCTGAGTGTTTCTGCCATGTTAGTAAGAGCTACAGCTGAACTAGAGATTTAAGCTTGTCTGGATCCATGCAATGCAGGTGGCAAGGAGCTATCCAGCCCCAACTAGGCTGTTCAGAGACTGTTAGCTCTTCAGGGGAAGGCACTGGAGCCACAAACCATCAACAGAAGTCTGGCAGCTACATCTCCTTTGCAAGGAAAGGTGGGTGAAAAGCCCAGGTTCTTCAGGTAGGGCAGAGTTTGCTGCTGCCCCATCCCTGGCAGTGTTCAAGGCCAGGTTGGACACAGGGGCTTGGAGCAAGCTGCTCTAGTGGAAGGTGTCCCTGCCCATGGCAGGGGGTGGAACTGGACGGGCTTTAAGGTCCTTTCCAACCCAAACCATTCCATGATTGTATGAAATCCCTACACAATTATAGCTGGAAGAAACCCATCAGGGGACAAACACTGCACTCAGATAAAGGCTGCAACCAGAGAGACTCAAACACAATGAAGCCTGAGGTTTGCTTTTAGTCTCTTTGGCTGAGCTCAGCTCCAGGAAGCGACTCCAGAGAACAGCTTAAACCTGACACTGTTTCAGAGCTACTTCTCATCAGAAACCATGCAACTGTTCTGCAGTGAAGCCCTGTCAGTAACCTTCAGTTCAAATGCTTCTGCTTTTGAAGTCACTTCATGTTTTAAGGTGACCCCTTACGTATATGTTGGCTATTTAAACCCCCTGAAACGCTTAGCTTTAGGAGCGGCTTCCATCCATCTTTAACTACCTTTCTTCAGCTTGCTGCTGCTCCCAGTGTGCTATTTGTGCCATACCAAGGGGTGATCAGCCATGCAGCCAAATCACCTCTCAGAAGCCAAGGCCCTGTATGAATTGGGTTATTCTACTCAGTGTCTTTTAGCTCTTTATAAGGTTGTCTTGGCATCATCCCTACAGCACAGGTTTTCAGTCTGTGCCTGGTGCACCTCTGATCAACCAGTTTAGGATGGAAAGAGTTCAATTTGCTGTCTGGAACCTGCATCCTCAAGGATTAACAAGAGGATAGACTAAAAGCCACTCTCCTAAAGCATCTGTAACTGTCCAACAGGGACTGTCCTCCTACCTTTCCCCCTCGGTGGATGTGGTACCACACAGAAGTGCCACCGAAGTCCACGTGGAAGTCTGTGTAGCAGCCCTTGACACTCATCAGACAGTATCTGGTGGAGAACAAGAAAGGGATAAGGTGAAATGAGTGGTGAGCAACATTTGAGAGCAGGTAAAACATATTCAAAGGGAATGGGCTGCCTAAACCCAGACTCACAGCAGTGCCAGCACACAATTACTGCAGTGCTAAGCACCTGAGCTGCAGGAAGGTGGTGGTTTGCAGGAGAGCTCACTTTGCAGTTATGTCACATCCCCACACAAAGATCTAATCCAGGCAAGAGCAGAGCTCTCATCCTCACACATCTGCAGCTCTAGAAACCCCCTGTCACAGGCCTATGGGACAGGACAGGCAATGCTCAGCAGCTGGGCTGGCTCCAGATGTTTCAAGGTGGTGAGCACCAAGAGTGTCACCCTTCCACACATCATTTGTTAGGGGCTTAAATAAGCGCCTGCAACATCCCTACAAGTGTCACCCACTGAAACAGACTGCTCCTCCCTCTTCCCTTTGGTACAAACCACTTCTGCCTTGGGCAGTTCTCTTGCAAGAGATGCTCTGCGCCTGCCACCACTGGAACAGCTCAGGAAGTCACTTACTTCTGCACCTTTGGATACTGCATCTCCAGGATGGCATTCGTAGACTCTGTCTGACTCTCCTTCAGGTGCCTGGGCCACATGTTATCAACCCAGTCAATCAAATCCACCTACAGCAAGAAGGGTGGGAGACATGAGTAGAGATGACAGGGGAACTGTAACCCCTTCTGGTACTCTCCCTGGCTGTCCTAGAAGCTCAAATGGTAGGCCCATAGCTCTCATGTGCAACCTTCCCCATTGCACTGGTGCAATCCCACACATAAAGCGCTTTAGGACCAGCTGCTCTGATGCCAGTTGCTGTACAGTGACCCCCTGATTTCACACAAGCAGCAAACACCACAGCAAGATCCCAAGCATGGCACTGGGACGCTGGTTGTCCACTTAGGGGCTAGGCAGGAACTGGTATGCACTGGGGATAGACAAACCATGCTGGGCAGAATCTGCCAAGGTGAGATTCAAGTCACTGAGCTTCAGCACAGCCCCAGAGCAGGCAGAGATGTCCAGGCTCCCTCTACAGTTAACAGGGAGAAGTGAACGGCTCTACAGAGCTACCCCTTCCTCTTCCCCGACTGCAGAGGGAGTCCAGGATGTCCATCCGTGTTCTCCCACTGTCATATTGCTTCCTGCCCCCTTCCAGCACAGCTCCAGTCTTGGCCTCCTCTGCCCTCCAAGATTTCGGCACCAGAACCCCTCCTTGCCACACCACAGAACCCTCTGGAGTCCCAGCTGCACACAGGGTTGGTGTCCTAATGGGACCATGGTTTCCAAACACCAGGAAAACCTCAAAGCTCAACCAGCATCCAGGCTTTAGCTGCTCTCTCCAAACGCAGCTGAGCTCTGCTGTCCCATACATGATGGCAGGTCCACCCTTGCTCTCCACTGCCACCTCTCTCTTGCCACAGTGGAGCTGATCACTGCTGCAGGATGCAGGAGAGGGCTCCACACCAAGCATCAGTGAAGCACACAGATGTAAGGCAGACCCAGAACTGAATGACAGCCAAGGTCTTGGCAGGCAGTGGAAGTGGCTACCTGGGAGAGGCTGGAAGCCAGCATCCCCATCCTGTCCTCAGTGTTCCCTGTGGCTGAGCACCAACCTGACAACCTCTCTATTCAAACTGAGGTGCTTGTTCTTGATCAGCAGCCAGCAGGAGCAGGTTACTTCCCTTTAATTATTCCTTCCTATTAATTGCTGATAGCCAATCCATTAGCTGCTGATAGCTAGTGAGCTCTCTGCAGAAGAAGTCAGCTCTCTACAGAGCAACACACCAAGGACTTGACCATGGTGGCTTGCCTATATAGGATGAGGATGCACAGGCTAGGGCTGACTGTGAGATCAGCTCCAGCAAACAAGGTCCATGTCAGACACGGGATCAGCTCCAGCAGCTTCCAGAGCACAGCAGTGACATCCCTGGTTGAGCCCATGCATGTTACGAGCAGCTCTTCTCCTGCACTCAATGCCAGGCTGCACCTTACCTACAGAGGCCCACAAGCACAAGGGAAGGAAGAGCCATGCTCACCGTAGCAGGTCTCTGCACCAGGTTCTCCAGTTTGGTGTGGCTGAACTCCAGGCTGATGACGTTGTAAAGTTTCTCCCTCTCAGCCTCTGGTGTCTCGTAGTAACGTGCCCACTGTGCCATGGACATCTCAATGTCCCTCTGTGTGTTCACATCCATGACATCCACCATCCGCCGGCTCCCTGCCGGGACAGACAGACGTCACTGGAACCATCTCTGGGCACAATGAACCACCCAGAAGAGATGCTCCAGGATACACAAGATACCTCCTCAAAGAACCCACCCACAGCAGTGGGATGCTCTGGCCTCTCCATAGCTTCATCTTCTTCCATACCCACACTGAAACTGAACCTGCTTCAGGTCAAACTGGACTCAAGCAGGTAAAAGCTGTGATCCACTGGCTCAGGCACACTGGGGAAGCCACATAACCAGACCTCCCATTGGTACCAGACCATTGATACACCCAGTGACTCTGCCCATCCCTCCCCATCTGCCCAGGGCACACCAGAGGCAGCCTGTGGTCCCCGGACACTTACCAACGCAGAGCCGCACATCATTGACGCTGAAGTCCGGGTCTGGCATCCTGCAGGACAAACACCTTGCTAAAACATCATGAAATGCTTCTGGTTGCAGACCCTTCCCACCTCCAACCCCAGTATTAGCACCTTGAAGGTGCTACTGGGCTTCTCTTCTTCTTGGATGGGGGTGAAGAGCATGAAACCAGATCTCTGGGGTGAAACACAGGGCCCCAACTCCTGGCTAAGGAAGCAGATTTGGGAATAGGATACATCATCTCCAGAGCACGAGCTCTTGTAGTGGCTTCTGGCAAATGCTCTGGCAAGCTTTGAGCTAAGCAATCCCAGCTCTCATTTGAGAGACTGCTCCTATGAGTTATCCCAACATAAAGAGCACGGCCAGACCCGCACAAGGGATGTATTTCACTGACACAGCAGAACTCCTCTCCCTGTTTGTACTGGCACACTTATCTGTACAAACACAGGCAGAACGGGCAGGCAGCCATTCAAGCAGCTCTTGACCCAGAGAAATCACCAAAAGCTCAGAGGAAATCCAGGTTCACCCACATTGGAATCCTCAGGATCAAATCCTTGCCTTTCCAAACCACCCAGCTGCTAAACCTGAGCGTGGTACCATCTAAGTCACCCCAGTACAGCACATCATGCACTGGGTGAGATGCTACCCATCAATTCACAGCCAGCTGAGGAAGTTAAGAGCAATGCGGATGATGCTGGCTCCAACAAAGGCTAGTTTATCCCTTTAACCAAACCCAAACCCCATTGACCCAGCAGAAACATCCAATCAGATCAGGTCTGAGGTTTATTTAAAGCCAGCTGTAATGTTTTATAGCATTACTTGCCTTAACACTACATCTAGCACCCCATCGTGTATTTATATGAACATCATAAACCAGCACAAAGTCCTGCATCAGCACAGCTTCACACTCCAAGCTGTAAACTTTGATTGACTGTAGCAAGAGACAGAGATGGCAGTTTAGAAGTAACCACATTGGATAAATCAGGTTGGAACTGCTGGGAAATGCCAGAAATACTACAAATTGCTTGACTCTGGCTCTGGCAAGTGGTGCTGTATTACTAGGAAAGGAACCCAGCCAGATGTTGCATCAGAGCAGCAGTGGGATATTCCAGGCATTTAGTTGCATTGTGGTCACCTACAGCCAGCTCTGACTTTAAGTCCAGACTCGTTAGAACAGGATAACTGAGGTGGAAGATACTTCTCACTGCAGGTAAAGGACAGTATGGACAGGACACTGCCATAACAACCTGGTTTCAGATCCAGCTACCAGGATCAGATCCCACAGAATGTGGGGAGAGAGGCAGGAAATCAGGAGTCATCCACCCCTAGCACTTACTTTATCCCCAAGCCATCGGAGCTCCTGAAGATGAGAGGGTCCCTCAGGCCACCCCTCTGGATGTATTCAACTGTGAAGTCTGTGAGAAACCAAAGGGAAGGTGTTAGGGGAGATTCCTGCAGAGGACTAGAGACAAAGTGAGGTTAGAAAGGATCTCTGGAGCTCCCTACTTCCACTCTGCTCCCAGGAAGCTGAATTCAGACTCAGAAGAGGTGTTCAGAGCAGTTGAGAGCTGAGAACCAACTCTTGTCCCTGTGACAAGGCTCACCAGCAAAAGGAAGTGCTGCTCCTTGCTATTTCTACACTTCTTGGAGACCCCGGAACTCCTCTGCGGCAGTTCTGTGAGCAGCATGGTGTGTGCTGCTGACAAACCTCAAACAGAGCCTCTAAGGAGGAGGGAATTTGCTCCAACAACCAGCACCAGGCAGGGGGAATAGCGTGGAGTTTGGTCCTCACTTCCCCAAGAAGCTCTGAGCCAAGTTAGAGATGCCCTGAAGGAATGCTCCTCCCTCGTGGTAAATCCTTGTGAGGGATGCACTGTCTGTGTGATGAAAAAAACATCCCACTGGGCCATATGTATGGTGAAAGAAAGGGGAGAGATCCCACAGAGCCTTTGAATTGAGCATCTAGTAGACATGTGGCTGCAATTACAGGTGCTGACCCAGGCAAACCCTCTTGTTCCTGGCTGCCATGTGTCCCAGCAGGCCTGCAGATGGGCTCCTTGCTCTCCAGACTGAGGGGATTCCATGCCATTTCCCATACACACTCCCTGTTACCAGCTCCCTTAGCAGGCTTGAGCCAATACTCCAACAATACACCTCATATCACCTTCCAACTGCTTAGGCACTGCACAGGACTTGTGGGGAAGCAGATAGGAACATCCCCCACCACTTAGGTTACGGGAGCAAAGCGGTTTCCAAGCACAGAACTGGTGTGAACAGCAGTTTTCCCAAGTTCACAGGAAGACGGGAAGTAAAAGGTAGCAAAACACAGGAAAGGATTTAGGATTGCATTAACACCACAACTGCCTTGTAACCACCCTTTGAGGCAGCCAGGGAAGCTCTGGGTGTAAGTCAGATGCACAAGAGCACATCCAACTGTGAGCACTGCTGGCTTTCTACAGGGAAAGGTCACCTCACACCATGGAGAAGCAGCCAGCCACTGCAGCTGTGTGGTTACTGACAGCAGCAGCACAGCCTGTCCCAGGACAAACCTTTGCCTTCCATGAAGACCACGAAGGTGGAGTTAAACTTGTTGGTGGACAGCTTCTCCTCGAGGTCAAACGTCCTCTTGCCTTCAATTTCATCATCAGAGATGCCATCGTCCTCGTAACGCCGCCTCATCGTGCCACGCTGAGGAGAGACCGGAGCAGGAGGTAAGAGATAGGGACCAGGAGGGACAACCAGGGCCTCTGGGGGAGCCCTCGATCCCTGCTTCTGCTCCCAGAGAAGAGACCCTGGATTATATTATCCATGACTCCTCTTGCTTCAAAAGCACTGCTGGGATCAGTTTGCAAGAGGGACGCGCCAGGGAAGATCTATTTAAGCAATGTCTGTCCTGGTTCCAACACACACCACTGAAACATCAGGTTTGCTCCTCCTCCAACCAACAGATTTGTGCAAGTTGGGCTGTATGGGAGACAGATAGTTCACTCCCAATGAGTGCTAACACAGAAACATGGGAAGAGGGGAACAGTTCAGTGTAACTGGGGACAAGAAAGAAGAATGTTACCTGGTTTTGCAGGTACATCAGTATTTTGCTGCACTGGAGGGGAATTTAAACCCCTGTCATGATGGCAAGTGATACAGGAACAGGTTTATGCTGAAGACAATTCCCAAGTTTTCAGCTTTGGTTATGCACAGAAGCTGATTTATTCCCTTGTTTGTGTGTGTGGGAGCAGCAGGAGGGGAAATAACCCTTTTCTGACAGGGTCTCTAAGTACATCTGTACTGGGATGCCTGACAGACATCCTCTTCCAGTAGTGCTGGATCTGGAAGGAATTACTGTCCCCAGCTGTTTGCCACCCCTCCATGCTTCCTTTGTGGGAATGCTCCCTAAATCCCCACAGATAAAAGTGAACCTGGTCTGAATTAGCTAAGCTGACTTCACCCAATTCGGGATGCTCCTGCTGTAAAGCATTCACACCAATGGGGATAGCAGACAGGCAGGGATGGGGCAGTAGATGATGCAGCAGCAGCTGCTGTCACATCTGGGCCTGGAAGCTGGAGGCAGCAGCCTGGTGGCAATGGGAACAGGGTCACATCCCACCAACAGCCATAGATCATGATGCTGGGATGGCAAAAGTCACCATCACTAATGAGGTGAGCAGCGTGCACATCGAGTCATGGAATGGTTTGTGTTGGAAGGGACCTTAAAGCTCATCCAGTTACAACCCCTGCCACGGGCAGGGACACCTTCCACTGGAGCAGCTTGCTCCAAGCCCCTGTGTCCAACCTGGCCTTGAACACTGCCAGGGATGGGGCAGCCACAGCTTCCCTGGGCACCCTGTGTCAGCATCTCAGCACCCTCACAGTAAACAACTTCTGCCTCAGATCCAACCTGAGCTTCCCCTCCGTGCATCTCCAGGCCCTGCACAACCTCCCACTGCCTGGGGTGTTTGACAGCTCATTTCTTCCTTATTTTAGGCTCTTTTGATGAAAGCCCTGGCATGGGTGAGGGTTTCTTTTGCCCCCAGCCCTGCCTGGCCTCCATCCCCTTCCCCTTAACCCCTGCTCCCCCAAACCCATCACAGCTTCAGTAACTGCATCAAACACACCCAGCTATCAATCATCCATCACTGATCACTACCTTGCTTTGCTGGTGCCTCTCTTCCTCCCTGTGAGGGTGCTGAGGCGCTGGCACAGGGTGCCCAGAGAAGCTGTGGCTGCCCCATCCCTGGCAGTGTTCAAGGCCAGGTTGGATACAGCGGCTTGGAGCAAGCTGCTCCAGTGGAAGGTGTCCCTGCCCGTGGCAGGGGTTGGAGCTGGAGGAGCTTCAATGTACCTTCCAACACAAACCAGTCTGCGATTCCTTATAGTCTTATTTAAACAGTACCAGTGAAAGAGAAAGGATCCCCCCCTGCACACATGTATTGCTTTAAAGATGCTTCTAAACTCATTAACTCACTGGTGCAGGAGCATGTGGAGACAACTCCTGATAGCTCCAGCCTCACACTTCCAAGGAAGCTGATCAATTCACAAGTCACTTCCCTGCCATCAAAGCAGAGCTCCTTATCTCTCCTTGCTGTCAACACCTCATTAGCTTTCCCCTTCCCAGACACCTGAATAGGGACACCAACACCTCATCTGCAAGGCAGGGATACGAATGAGGGGAGCATCCCAGAAAGAGCCCTGAGTATCCTGAACCCAGGCCCTGTGTTAATGATGGCTGCTGTGTCCTAAGCCACCCACTACACCTGGTATGAAGGAGGAGTATTTTCTTTCACTCTCTGTAATGATACAAAGATAAAACTCCCTTTACTCACAGGCTTTATATAAATGCACAAATAAAAGACAAACAGAAGTGACACCCATATTCCTGAGGAACACCTTGGGGCACGAATGCTGGGTGCCAGGGCCACGCTTCCCACTGATCCCAGCACAAATCCAGGCTCTGGAACTCCCAAACTCTCTGTCATTTCTGCCTTTAAACTGAGATGGGCTCTTTCAAGGGGATGCACAAGGGATGTGGTGGTATTAGTGGGAGAAGAGGACCTGGATGTGTTATAGTGGAGGACAGGTCCATTTCTAAAGCACCGTCCCTTAAACTCATGGAATTGGTTAACTCTGCATAGTGCTCGGTTTTAAAATCCCTGTACAGGATTTAGGGACCCATGAGCCAGAGCCTCCCTTCCCAGTGCTTTGGGAAAGGCTCATTTCAAACACATTCCCCCCATCAGGCACAAATCCCAGCTCCTGCAAACATCATCTCAACACCCTGCTCTTCTGCTGCAACCCAAAGGCTTGAGGCCAAGCTTCCAGCTCCTGCAAGCAACAGGAGGATAAAGCCTTTCCCCTCATCCACAACCCTCACATTTCACCTCCATGCTGGTGCCCTGAATTAGTCCAGACTGGCTGCTTGGGAGGGATGGAGCGGGATGGCCATGGAACAGCCACCTGGAGAGAGATGCCCATGGTGAGAATGGATGGAGCAGGCATGCTGCTGTTAGCTGAGGACCGTGCCTGGGAGCTCTGGGCTCTCAGCATGGGCAGGCAGAGCTGTGCTGGCCCCACCTTTGGGGGCAGGAAGCTACCAAACCAGCTCCCATCCCTCTCAGCTCCTGCTAACCCATGGGAGGCTTTGCTGAAGGCCCACAGGGAGCACAGCTTGCGAGGGGCTCACCTCTGGGTGCCAGAGCACCCACTCTTCACCCCACTGTTTCGCTGTGGTGTTTGTGGGGTGGGAGAGCTCTCACAAAACCAGCTCAGTGATTCCAGTTCCGTGCACACCCATAGAATCTTCCTCACCTTTGCTGGAGGTAAGGGCAACTGCAACCTTTTGCTGGGCAACCACAACTCCCATCCCAGAACCATTTAAAGTCATGGAATGATTTGAATTGGAAGGGAGCTTAAAGCTCATCCAGCTCCAACCCCTGCCACGGGCAGGGACACCTTCCACTAGAGCAGCTTGCTCCAAGCCCCTGTGTCCAACCTGGCCTTGAGCACTGCCAGGGATGGGGCAGCCACAGCTTCTCTGGGCACCCTGTGCCAGCGCCTCAGCACCCTCACAGGAAAGAGCTTCTGCCTCAGAGCTCATCTCAGTCTCCCCTCGAGCAGGTTCAAGCCATTCCCCTTGGCCTGCCCCTACAGGTCCTTGTCCCAAGCCCCTCTCCAGGTTTCCTGCAGCTCCTTTAGGCGCTGGAGCTGCTCTGAGGTCTCCCCTTCAGAAGCCTTCTCTTGTCCAGGCTGACCCAGCCCCGCTCTCTCAGCCTGTCCCTCACTCCTGCCCTGAAGAGTGCTGCATGAGAGTGCAGAAGGCTTAGGTCATGCTGGCAAGCACCTCAAGGAAACCTCATTTGCAGCTTTCCCTTTCTATTTCCATGCTTTCAGAGAAGATGCAGCAGCCACGGTGCTTCCTTGTGCCTGTCTGGGCCCTTCCCTGCGCAGCTGAAACTCGCCTCAGATCCTGTCCTGTGATGCTGTCAGACATCAGCTGCCTGTTGTGGCTCCTGCCAGGACACCTCTGAATGCTGGGGGAACAAGAGCAGCTACAGGAGACCTCAGACTACTTTGCAAGTGCACAAATAGCCTTCCAGCATGACTGGTTTTCACTTAGGCCATTCTCAGGCAAGGAAACAAGGCTTAGGAGTGCTGGCCCCACAGGCAATTCCCATCAGAGGATGAGCATAACGAAGTGGAGGATGCTGGGCCCTGTAGTCCATGAATTTCCTCCTTTGGGATCAGGAACACTCCAGGACCAGGCTGTGGCTGTGACTTGACCTGCTCCTACTCCAGACACTTGAAGTTGTGAGGTTTAGGGAAGAGCAGCTCCCTGTGCAAGTGCATCCAAACCAGGCCCTTACCCAGTTCTATCTGGCTCCTAGGCTGGAAGCCTCTGTGGTATTCCAGGATACAGCCAGGGTTACTGCATTGGGCTGAAACTCAGGTTTTGAGCTTAACCATGAAGCTCTCATCCCAGGAGATCCGGGCTGGAATGCAGCTCCAGCCATAGGGATGATGTCTGGCTGCAGACCTGTTTCAAGCAGGTATCCCTCACAGCAAGGGCAGATGACAGCACATATCCAAGGACACTGGTGGCCTGAAAAGCCAGGGAGCAGGCAGGTAACCAACACAGCAGGGAAACCCTTCCTGTGCTGTCACCTCACAGACACGCTAGTGTCCAACTGATGTGATCAGACTTCCTTTATCCCTGTGGAATGTGAGCTGGCATTAGCTTGCTCCTTGTCATCATTCCATAGTTACTGCTAGGACAGCAAAGAGGGCGACATGGAGAGAAGTTCTAGTTTGAGTAACTACAGCATGGATGAATAAGGACTTTCTAGAGAAAAGAAGGCTCCTTAAGGGGAGACCTTAGAGCAGTTCCAGTGTCTAAAGGGCCTGCAGGAAACCTGGAGGGGCTTTGGACAAGGGCCTGTAGGGACAGGCCAAGGGGAATGGCTTGAACCTGCCCAAGGGGAGACTGAGATGAGCTCTTAGGCAGAAGCTCTTCCCTGGGAGGGTGCTGAGGCGCTGGCACAGGGTGCCCAGAGAAGCTGTGGCTGCCCCATCCCTGGCAGTGCTCAAGGCCAGGTTGGACACAGGGCCTTGGAGCAAGCTGCTCTAGTGGAAGGGGTCCCTGCCCGTGGCAGGGGTTGGAACTGGATGGGCTCTAAGCTCCCTTCCAACCCAAACCA